GAGATAACATAAAAACAAAAAATGATGCCAACCTATATGTTAGCTTCATCGTGTTCTTAGGGTGTATGTCTCTCTTTGTCTTTGTGTCACGGTTTCTTTCTCTTGTCGTATCTCGTATTGTTGCCCTTTCTCTATTTTCAAGTTTTATTGATCATCATGTCCTGTCTCCGCCATTCGTCTGTTGCTCCACGAATAGAGAGATGAAGAAAAGGGGAAGTTTTTAGGAAACAAGTAATAATAATTCAAGAAACAAATATGTGATAGACCATTCCAAAGCACTCAAAGAAGTAAAATGGTGCCTTTCGCTCGTTTCTCCAGTTCACTTGTTAATCAACATTGCATACTATCTTATACATTAAATGGGCTCAGATTATTGGAATTCGATTTTCCTTTGTTGGGTTGACACGTAAAAAGGACCGAACCAAAGTGAGCGAGCATTGTCACCAATCATATATCTTATGTTGCAAGCCTCACTGCCTCGCTGTGTATGTGTGTGTGTATATGTATGTGTGTGTGTGTGTCTGTTCTCGATGTGTTACTTGTTGCATGTGTGCTTTTAAGTGTGTTTGCTTGCATGTTTGCTTGCTTGCTTTGTCCTTGTTGCTTGATTGGCTGGTTGGTTCTCTTGCTTGCTTCCTGCTTGCTTCCTGCTTGCTTCCTGCTTGCTTCCTGCTTGCTTCCTTGCGTGCTTGCATATGTTCTGGTTTGTGCTGTGTGAGCTGCACCCTGACACGTTACCAGTTCCAAATGTCCAAGGCGTCGGCTTCTCAAAGAGCATCTCGATCATCCTTTCCCGGTTCTTCTTGGGGTTCATGGGTGCCTCGCAAGAGGTCAAAGCCTTGCGCGCGTCTCCCGTCCTGCCTCGGTGACAATGCAAGCTTGATCTTCGGGATTCACTCGCAAGGCATCGAAGAAAGTGTGATGCCACACCTGCCACAGCCAGGCTCTTCACACACGCAGTAAGCACAGCCTAAGTCTACCACCAACGCAACATGCCCGGCCTTCTCCATATCCGACCAATCTTTCACAATTCCATGTTCTATCTTAGTGGCATACATCAAGTCCATCAAAGACATGACATGTCGACAAATCGGCATTTATTCTTGAATCCAAAAGTAAGCAGAATCGATCACTTGTCCTTCATGGCATGAAGCAGTCGCTGTTCTGGTTGGCAGGCAATGCTGGTGCAACACACAAAAGTAGTTAAGCCCGGCGCCGGATAGGAGATGCTCACCACGCCGCGCTTTGCCAGCGCTTCCTCGCCCATATAAATATCCTTCTGTTCACTTCCTAGGCACGAGAGACGATGGGCCATAGCAACTTTGCCTGGTGCAAGCCAATGAGAAAGGCCATCAATACACAGAAAATGTCAACCTTTGTGTCATGTTTTTCAGCTGAAGAAAGGTTTGACCTTAGCATCCAAGGCACACTCTTCCAGCACACATCACGAAACAACAGAAACCTGTGCAACTTACTACTTGGCATGCAGACCATTGAGTCTCGTCCTCGAAGAGCATGCCAACATGTCGGTGCTCTTCAGAATGAAAACCACTCCCTCAACAAGGGTGATGTGAAGAAAGACTTGCGTGATCTTGATGCGGACTTGTCTGTGCCAAATGAAACCAAACGACTCTCTTTCATCCTCAACTCGCACAATCTGATTCAGTTTGCGCTGTAGAAGGAAAGTCGGCTTGATGTGCAAATCATCGGCGTGCCCAGAACACAATGGAAAAACCGATGATTTGACAAGGAGTGCCTCCAAAAGGACGACACCGCAAGAATCGGAACCAAAATGCGCCCTGTTGGAGCAGGTCAAGCCCGAACGAGGCAAAGACAAACAGTCAAATTCATACCCACATATACAAACTACTCCAAAAGGTAAATCCAGGCAAGAGGACATAATGGCTCAGGAAGAGTAGGGAAAGGGCTCACTTAAAAGCGTAAGAGCTGAAGTTGGGTTAGCGATAGTAAGCGGAAGCAGCAGACTCGTCAAATACGATGATGGTTGATAAGGAATTGTATTCTCTGCTGTTTCTGCACAGTTCAGCCAAAAGTTCCCTGATCCCGTGACGCATGTCCACCATACTTTGCAGCCATTGTGCCTGGCATCATGGCGTCATGCTTCGGCTTTCCCACTATAGCTGGAAAAACGCATCGTGGCCCGTCTTCACCAGAAATGCCTGCCTGTAGTGCACATCAGCAAACAGAACAAAACATGTGCGTGCGCGCTCGCACAAACACAGACACACACGCACACACAAATAGTGTCCTGCCTTGACATGACCAGAGCCATTGTCGATGATGACAGGTGGCTGGCGCACAAGCGAACAAGTCTAGCCCGAACTCCATTGGTTCCCAGAAACATTTGTGTGATCAGTCCGTCTGGGTGTGTCTGAATTCAGGGTACCCCTTTTTGGCCTGCCAAAAGGAAAGCCACCATTTTGCAGGGGTGCGAAAAAAATGAGGCGCACATGTTATTAAACATGCATGTAAGTGTACAGTTGGCATGTACCCCCCCCCCCTCCGTCGCTGTCCGGCAGCCTTAAGGTCGACATCCGGCATTGGAGGCTGCCTGTCCCCTCACCGAGATTGTTCAAGAATCCACTGCAAAGTTTCATTGAACATGCATTCAACACCAAAGAAAAGAAGAAAAAAATGTCAAATACCTACAATATATCAGCCAAGGATGTGTTTTGGCGTCAAAGGAACTGATTGGTGTCTCAGTCGAATCACTTGATCTGGACGTTGGGTCGTGCGCATGTTGTGTGTCAATTCGCCTTGAGCCACTCATCCAAAGGTGAGTCAGGGTGGCAAGGGGTGGCAAGTGGAATGGACGCATGTCCAGCAAAGACATTGTTGGATTATTCAGTCTCGGACAAATAGCACTAGCTTCAAATTCCAAGCCAAACGAAACCGTAAATGAGTTGATCAACAAAACCATCGCAAAACCAACTGGCCTGGCTGAGTGCGCAAAATCGTGCTTCAATGAAAATTGCAGGTCTCAAGGCGTGGCCGTAACAAGGCAAACAAAGACGACCCAAAACACCACTGTTCAATCAACGGTATTCTGAAAGCCACGATTGAGAGAAACTCCCTCAACGCTCCCAATCTCAATTCGTGACCGAGTGCCAGCCTTGCAGAAGATATCTTGTGCAGGCCAAGCCGCAGCGCACAACACGGCGCCCATGTGTGAACACAGTGCCTCGCAGCGCTGGGTTCATCGAGAGTGGCTTTGAGGGGAAAGTACGCTTTTAACAGGGTGGCAAGGTTGTGGACGAATCGCCGCGTCCATCCCACAGTGTAAGGTGATTCGGTCAAAGGCCGCAGCAGCACCTGTGCACTGTCCACGGCGACAATATGTTCCTTGTTGACGCTTGCTTGTGAGCTTGCAGGCAGCCGGTTCCCAGGAAAATGAGATTTACTCGGATGCGCTCCAGGACTTCCAGGTCTGAGTAGAATGACCCAAGGAACAACCTCCATGCATGCATGCAGGACGCTGGGCAAGGTCACGAAGGACATGCTGACGGCCGGTCGAGCACGTCGCAATATTGTCAGACGTCAGACCAGCTGTGTTATAGTTAGAATCCTGTTCACTGCTTCAAGCCAAGAGGGGACCAGTAATAGAAAGGGGGAGGAACTCACAACTCGATCGGCCGAATCGCCCTGCTCCTTTTCTATTAGGCGTTGCTCAGAAGTCCAGGCTCGAGGACGCGGGAGGGACGACAAAGCGTGTCCATCCCCTGACCTGCATCCCTTTGCGGAGCCTGCACAAATACCCCCAAGGTTAACAACGCGTGTTCAACCTGTTCACAGGGTGTGTTACCCAGGTGTGAAACAAAACTGGAGGTATTGTGGCACTTCAAGCAGCAATGCGTGCAGCTTGTGTGCGAAAAAATGAGGATTGCGTCCTCAAAGGATAAGACCCACGGCTGGTCCTGCAATGTTGTGTATCCCACAAAGCAACGCGTGCTCCGTGAGAGATGCTGAGGAAAGCGTCCTCACGCGTCGGACTGAGTCCGGAAACATGCCGGAGGAATGCGTCCTCGCTTGTGCTTTGGCGCAAAAAACCACACGCAGCAGCAGAAAGTGCAGGCTGGGACCGTCCGCTGATGGAATGGAAACCTAATGAGCCTCACTTCTTGGACTGGAACACATGTCGGAGGAGTGCGTCCTCGCACGCAGTGGCAAAAAGACTACACTTAGCCAAAAACGTGCATGCTGGCACAATGTGCAGATGCAATGCAATTCCTATTAAGTTAGAATGGTCACGAAGCAACGCGTGCTCTCGTGCCAATTGCTGAGGAACGCGTCTTCTCTGTCTGTCTCACAAGGAACGCATCCTCGCAGTGTGGCTGCCACGTAAGTGGAGAAAGCATGCTGGCACGATATGCGGCTACAATGCCAGGCCTATCAAGGCTGCCAGCCTTGTGCGCCAAGGTGAACCACCTAGGGTGGGTGGGTGGGCTTTGAAAAAAGCGGAAGAGGGATCGAACCCTCTAAACCGGTCCCTCTTGAAGCAAAAGCGGCCACGCGGCTGAAGATTCGAACAGGATTAAAACACGGGGGAACAGAAAACCCCAAGCGTTAGAATCCTGTTCACTGCTTCAAGCCAAGAGGGGACCAGCAATAAAAATGGGGAGGAACTCACAACTCGATCGGCCGCCTCCAGCACGTCGAAGGCCGACTGGTCAGCCTTGTTCGAGAGACCCGTGGTCAGCGAGCTCTGCAGCGCGGCAATGCTGCTCCCGTGCGCAGCCACCTGCCCGTCCGTGGTGGCCAGGGCTGCTGCCGTGGCCAGAGGCGCACCAGGGACTGGATGGCAGCTGCGTTGTTGCCCTCTTTAGAGGGGGTTTTCCAAACGGTTTCCATTGCACCTGGAAGGGTTCTGACACTTGTCCGTCCAGGAAACGGGTTCCTCGACCGACCGACGCCGAACGACTGACCGACCGACGACCGACGACGACCGACGACCGACGACCAACGGCCGAACAACCGACCGACAACCGAGGGTCCAAAAAAAGGTTTTCTTTGAGGGGGCTCGCCTTGCAGAAACGAAGGCAGCTGCGGGGCATTTTGCCAAACCGCATATCTAGGGGTTGCTTTGTTGCAGCCACCCGCCTGCGCGCAGCATTTTAGATTTTGAATCCTTCAGGACAGGTTGTTTCCTGGATGGACGAGTGTCAGAACCCTTCCAGGTGCAATAGAATCCGTTTGGAAAACTTCGCGCTTTTGCGCGGCGCAGTCTGCAGCTGTTACTGCAGCTCGCTGCGCTGCAGTTCGGTTCGCTGCGCTGTTCGCTGCTGCTGTCTGGGCTGTCAATATTGATCCAATGTTGCGCGTTGCGGCAAGACACTTCAATATTGACTCAACAATGGCCTGGCATCGAAGCCTCGACGCCAGCCTGCCGCGCCACGTTCCTGCCTGGCATCAAAGCGTACGCCAACCTGGTAACCTGCCTAAAACCGAAGCCGGAACACTTCCCTGGCATCGAAGCGTCATACGCATAATGTGAAGAATGCGGTTAAACGGTCATACGGCTTGGCACCTCGGAAGTGTACGCCAAACCTGCAGAGCCGCCAACCAAGGTCGGAATTCCAACTTCGCTCTCCCATCAAGGTCGGAATTCCGACTTCGCTCTCCCACCAAGGTCGACTCGCGGGGATTGGGATGGTGTTGTCGCTGCTCCCTCCCGGATGCGGCGCCAGCCAGAAAACCCGCGCCACCCACCAGAACTCCGCGAACATCTTAGAGATGTTCTGCTTGATGCTGCTGTTCTTCAGGAGCTCGTCGGCGTGTCGGATTGTCCACAAAGTTGTGCTCAAACTTGACGCCCGTGATGCGTTCTCTGTCAGGAACCCAAGTCAGCCCGCCACACGTCGTTGGTGCAGAGCAGCAAGAGCCCGTGGAAGCTGAAAATGTTCTCTCCTCGACTTTTCTGCGCTGCCGTCAGGTGTTCCCTCCGAATGCTGGTACTCCATGAACTGGCGCGGGACGGACCTTGTGTTGCGGTCGGCCGTCTCGGTCCGCGCCACCGGCAGCTCCATAGTTTTGTAAAGTGCTTTGTCGTCATCCAAAAAGTCTTGCAGAGAAGGCGAGTGGACGAGGAAGCTCAGCTTGTCCCCACCCTAATGGATCTGGAAGTGGTAACGCTCCTGATCCAGCGGCGGCATGTAGCTGGCGTTGTTTAGCTTGCTCAACATCAAGCCCACTGAGAAGAGAATTGACGCGGTCTGGAAGAGCATCACGCTGTCGCTCTTCTGCAGCCGTCACTTCCCGGTGTCCAGATTGGGGCGCCACGTCCTGCCGCCGTAGGTGGTGATCAGTGCTTGCGCCAGCAGCACGCCGTCCGTTGCGTTGTAGCTCCATGTGATCCGCTGGTGGTCCCATCTCACGGGCACACGGTGCTCGACGGAGATGGCCAAGTCTAGGTGGTGTCGGCCTTGTCCTCATCCTTGAGCCAGCCTCCACCGTGGCCCATGCTTCCAGGCGCACCTTCTGTCGCGCGGTAAGCTTCTGCTGGCTGTGCCTCATGCCGATTCCCTGCAAGGCACAAAATACTCCAAGTCTTTGGCCGAGCCCTCGATCTGCAGATGCCCAACGACCGCCTCTGCAGAGAAGCCGCCGTCGCTCGATGAGAACAGGAACGATTTTTCGAGGTAAACCTCGAAAGGGATTCCCGAACAAAAACGGAAACCAGAAAGAAGCCAATCGCCCGAAAATATTGGACACATGTCATGGTCACAGCTTCTGGGCCAGGAATGCTCATCTGAATTCTCTGGGCCCCAAGTGCATCATTTGACCACTGGTTGCACTGCGAATCTTCCACCCTCACTGGCATAAGCACCGGTTTGTTGCACTGCCTGACCTTGAGTTCAGGCGTTGGGCTCAGCCGCACAAAGGTTCCAGGTGTAGAACTTCATCTTGACCCAGGATGAATGACCTGGCAAATCAAGTGTCGGGGGACGTTGCCCCAACGGCAACCGGATCTCCTTTGAAGGCCAGCGGCTATTGGCCAGCGGCAATTGGCCATGGGCTTAGTACTGAGTCCAACGACGTCTTCGTTTTTTCTTCGGCAACAAAAACCAAAGTCTAAAAGAATGTCAACCGATGTCCATATCAATGTTGCACGTCCCCAGTGCCAATCTGCGCTTGCCTTGAAACGGCGAACGTTGAGCCCACGGCAGCCTTGCCCGTCATGGCCTCACGCATCACCTGAGTTCGGCTCAAGGTGCGTGTCTGTGCTGCCCAGGAATAACAACATATAACAATAAACAGCCCTCCCAAGGATCGTTTTGACACCTGCAAGAAAGCTGTGTCTTTTGGGAGTATGGACTACCGCAGAAGTGGGATGGAGCAACGTGATCTGCTGGTTCACCTTCAATCTTGGGAGGGGCCCGCGCTTGAGAAACCACTGCCCGCCTGTTTTTCATCTGGCTGCAAAGGTGTTGATGCAACTTTACACCTCACCCAAGGTGGGAGACTTCAAAGGCCCTGGTGACTGGCCTGCCATGGGTGTGCCCGGCACACGGTCTTCAACACCTGCCGACTGGCCAGCTGGGAGTCGATGCGCGGCCTCAGCTCCACGGCCTTCTTCGGCTCTTGCAGGCTGATTGAGGCTGCCGTAAAGCTGGCGGTCGATGTCACGTACAAGGCGAGTCTCCTCGCTTAGGGTTTGTCGCAGCTGGATCTCATGGACAGCCAGCATCCCGGTCACGATGTGCAGCCCCCACAAAGTAAACCACGCCAGGACAAAGGGCACCCTTGTGAATCTGTGCTTGAGTACCAAGCTGGTTACCAGGCCCGCGTCAAAGTCGTCCACCGGCGCCAGGAAGACCGCGAGCAGGATGCTCAGCAGCAATCCCCGGAAAATGATTTGTTGCCTGACGCCGTCGCATAGGCTTTGCACCTCCCTGCTGCGCGCGGCACCCAACAGGAACAGGGGACCCCCGACGGCAACCTTCCATCGGGTGAGCCAGGGCTGCTCTTCAGTCAGCTGGCATTTGGGGACAAAAACTGTGGAGGCAACGCAGAAGAGGACCGCGGCTCCCAGAAATGGTAGAAACGTCGCAAGCCCTACCTGGAACTCCTCTGCCAAACTTGTCATCAGTTCGATCACTTGCAAGTTTACTTTGCCCTGCCATTGTTCTTCCACCAGTGTTTGTAACTGTCCCCCCAACTTGCTCAAGGCTGCAGAGATGTTGGGTTCGGGGGTCACAGGAAGCTTGGTCAATGCTCCGGCCACGGTCTCTACCATTTCATCCATCCGAACCGAGAGCTTGGAACCAAAGAGGCCAAGGACTCTCCAGGTCAACATGCAGATGGCAGCCACCTCGACCAGCACGACGTCAATGCCGTAGTGCGCCCAGATTAGGGCTTTTTGGCGCCGTGCTTTCAGGTTTCTTCGCTCCGCCACCCATGCTGCCAGTGGCAACACAGACGAAATCAGGAAAATCAAGCCGAGCACAAAGTCGTAGCCCCAAAACCTCCATGTGGACACAGCAACGCGGCCGCTTCGGCCATCACCCATGTGCTCGGGCAAGAAGCTCGCGAACGCACCCAGGGAATCGCGCGGGCCGAGACTTTTGTCCACACCTTTTTAGTCAGCTTGCTGAGAACCATCCGCACACTTGCCTCGGCCACTTCATTCGTCTGGATCTTCTCAATCATGGCCGAGTGCACAATCCTTCGAGAAAACAGATCAAACAAAGAGTTGTCAGCTTGAGACCAAACCAAATGAAAGTACTCCGGCGAAGATCTTAAAACCCTTGCCATCTCTGGTAAGGAGCTCATTGAAGGCATGCGTTGGCCCTTCCTGAGGGCTTGTGTTCACGCAGAGTTCGTAACCACAGTAGTTGCCTTCTTCCTCGGTGGTCTTGTTGATCGGCACGGCTTGCCATGTTGACAAATGGCAATGCCCTGCTTTCCACAGTGCCTCCTCAGCCTCGTGCATCTTCTTGGAGGAGTTGCGGGGAAATGTTGCAGAAGCTCTGTCCTCAAGAGCTTTCACCAGTGCATCTTGATTCTCCTCCTCCCTTGTCTTGCATCCCAGCCCGATGCCAGGCAGGGACACGCTGCAAACCTCCGAGTGGGTTCTCAAGAGCGTTAACAGCTCAGTTTCGTAAAGCCGATTTTTCTTCTCCAGAAGTGGTCTGCCCACAGTTGTGGAAAGTTGGCAGAGTGGCTCCTCCACCACCGAGCGGCTCGCAAGATAGAAGCTCGCCATCGACCTTGATTGGACTTCAGGCTGCCACAAAGAGGAAGGAAAGCAACAAGGGGTTCCCAATGTTAAGACACAAACACGCACCAAATCTGGAGCTGAATCCGCCAAAGAGCAAGGGGATCCCTCTGCCAAGGGCTTGTCGGAGCTTGAGCCGACCCCAGGTCTTCGGCGGCTTCTCTGAACATATCTCCCTGCCATCTCGCCAAAGTAAGAATGGTAGGTCCACATCCATGCTTGCAGCGCGCGCCAACTCCGGCTCTTTGCGTTTCTCCTCGAAGTAGCCTTGCTCCATGTTGAGGAGCCGAACCCAAGCACAAAGCAGCACAGTGGGTTCCAAGCAGACACCAAAACTCCAAAAAGCAACAAATATCACGCGCGCGTTTCTCAACAAATTGGCTTCCCTGAAAAAGCAACAAAAACGCAGAAAGGGTGGGTTTTGTAGGGCCGTCTTTTTGGCTTGGTTTTACGCGGCGAAATTGAAAGGAGACTGGCCATTTTGGTTTTGAAAAGAGACATAAGGTCTACCAAGCCAGGAAGCCATGGAGGTTCGTCATGATAAGCCCCATAATGAGCACAGTCAAGGGCGCAGCGTACAGCACGTCAACACCATCACCATCAGCCAGCCCCTTTGTGAGCTGCCATGAATTGCTCACAACCGACCACCACGAGACTAGCCACTTCCACGCAAAGAAGGCCACTTGCAGAGTCGCAAGCACCTTCACCTTGCCTGCCATACTGTACAAAGTTATGGATACAACTTGCGGTAACACGGTTCTGGCTAGAGCCCCAGGTGCATGAACGGTTGCTACGCCCAACGAGCTGCTAGCAATCCAAGGTCCAACCAGCGGGCTCACCTCGCGGATTGCCTACTCTGCTCGAATCGTAAATATCCCCTACGTCACCTCGATCCCAATCCAGGAGCCCCCAAATGTCCAAGCCCCAAATAGGACGATGACACGAACCAATCTACCCTTCTTATCTTTTTACATCCAAACAAGCTAAGGGCACCTAAAAACGAGACTGCCTGTGGTTTCCACAAATGTCCCAGAACAAACCGACCCCCCCAAAACCCCACCTTTCTGCGTCCCCCGGCAAGTTTGCCACTCGCTGTTTCGGTGACCGTAGCCGTAGCCGTTCCGCCCAATGATGACCTCAGACACCCGGCCGCAAAAAAACAGACCGCAGCCTGACTTGGAACCAACGGAAACCTCCACCATATGCGGTTTGCTGGTTCTAGCCCAAATGTTTGGCAAGTTGTTTGAAGGAAACCGTCTTGCACCGCTGATGCAAGTTAGTCCGCGTCTGAGATTGTGTCACAAAGCGAGACATGAAGTTGTTAATTCAAAACGTCATAAATGAGATGTGTAAATGTAGATATCTGCGACATGCCTTCAAATCTCACAGCGCGCCATTTTGACAGCAGGGGCAAATGTCCAACTGATTCCCGAGCTTACGTGTGCCCGGAGTTGGCCCTGAGGGAATGGCTCCCCAGACCCAACGCAGTAGGGTGGGTGACGCGAGTCACAGGGCGGGCTCAAAATGACAGAAGGGAGAGCTGGGAACAAATGTGTTGGTCCCGCCCGCCCACCACTTGAGACAGGCGATGTCACCACATTCAACAATCATGGCAGAGACAAGCAAGCCGTGCAATAGTTGATGCAAAGACCAAGCTCAAACATGGTCAACTAACGTGCATTACGCTACGAACACTCCGCCATGCTTGCAAGACAGAGCTGTCACTTCGTGAAAGCTTTCGTCTTGCACCGCTGATGCAAGTTAGTCCGCGTCTGAGATTGTGTCACAAAGCGAGACATGAAGTTGTTAATTCAAAACGTCATAAATGAGATGTGTAAATGTAGATATCTGCGACATGCCTTCAAATCTCACAGCGCGCCATTTTGACAGCAGGGCAACTGATTCCCGAGCTTACGTGTGCCCGGAGTTGGCCCCTGTTAATGGCACACAAGGGAAGCTGAGTGGATTCGCATGCAACTGAAAAACAGCCTTGATCAGTGCGTCAGGGACCCGCAAAGGATCTGACTCTCTGAGACCCAGCAGAGTGGCAGATGCCCTCACTTTGCCCCTTGAGGGCATGTCGCCCGGGTTTGAAAAAGATGCCACCCGTTCATACCAGACCAGAGATGGGTCCTGTGCCTCAAGATGTTGCAGGACTCTGGCCATGGCCTGCAGGGAAACTGAACGGGAAGTCCCTTTGACGCAGGCAAACCGAGCAGCATCATTATCAATCCATGCAATTGTGAAACGATTGGAGAGGGCGTCACTGAAAATCCATCTTATTGCCAGAAATGCAAACATCTCAATTTGGCAGATCAATTGGTCACCTACCTCATCGAGCCAGAGCTTCACAAGCTCATCCGGCACAGCGATTGGCGCAACAACGCCGCCGCCCTCCTGAGGAAAGTACATGGCTACACCAGCAGAAGCCACGCCGCTCTCCCAGGCGCCATCAGTGAAGATTAGAATAGGTAACTTCACCGACACGACAGAATAGACGCGAGGCTTCAATGACCGAAGCATGCACATGGCCAGGTCACATAGCTGCCTCAACTCCTCACTCGAAATTGCGGGCATGTCAACCATGCGATCAAAAGAGGCCACGAGGAAGCCCAAAGCCCGGGAGACGTAAAACCCCGAGGCAAAGTTGAGATGCCCTTGTACCTCCGCTGCCTGAGCTCGGGAGATCACACCATGATCTTTGATTGCCTGGAGCATTTTGCAAATTCGCTCAACCCTGGTCCTTTTGTTAGCCAGCACAAAAGACCCTCTGTCTAAGCGACCCAGTTGCACCACAACGCCTAACGCCGAAAATTCGGCAGCGAAATCAACCGCCTTGTGGCCCACCTGGGCATGGTCCCAGCCAAGCAAATTCAGGACAGTTGAAATAGCCGAAGTCAGAATCGGAGCACTTGCCTCCAGACTGATGGTCGGGAAGTCGTCGTAAAAGCAAGTACACATTGCCCTGAGGAAGTGGGACAAAATGTGGTGGAGCGATCGGCTCAGCCGGTTAAAGCCGTAAACCGACGCCGCTGCTCCAAAAGGTAATACGCCACAAAGGTAAAACTTCCACTCCCCGCCAAAAGGGTACCCAAGAACGCACAGTTTTCTGGAGGTTGGGTGAATCGCTAGCTGCTTGTAAGCTTTGGACAGGTCCACAGTTCTGCCCACCCATGAGCCTTTCGCTGCCGCTTCCACAACATCACCCCGCAAAACAGTCCCGTCGGCCATGCTGAGCAAGGCAGTTCCCGCGGCAATGCTTTCTCCAATTGTTCCAATCAAACAAGCCAGCGTGTCCACATCCATGAGCTCGAGACGAAAATTGACCGAGTATGTCGAGTTCAGGGAGGATCTTCTGCAGTCGTCAATGATCCTGACCTTTTTCTCCTCACCTTGATAAATTGCAGAGCGTGGATTTAGCAGCCAATGGTCTGTGCCGAAATGTTCAGAAATCTGCTGCTCCGTGAAAGGTCCTTGCAAATGACCCAACTCTACCTCCGCCAAGGTAGTTTCGTGCACATCCTGCTGCCGGGCTGTATCACCATCATCACACTCGGCCACCAGCACCCGCCTCCTCCAGACAGCAGTGTCCAAAAGGTCCTGCGAGTCCAGCGTGGCCGGTTTCCAGTCAGGTGGGTAGCAAGGAGGGCAGGAGTGCACTCCGTCCAAAGTGATGCCCTGCTTGACCAGCTCAACTACTTGCATGTCCTCATAGTGGGAGGCCTCAAGCAGCGCCTGCCACGCCAAAATCTTTTTGCTGCTCAAAATCGCCGAGACTCCAGGCTCCATCGAAGCCTTGAGCTGTCGCTCCTGGTCCTCAAGGTCGGAAACAACGCCTTTGATCATCAAGACCGCTCGCAACCTTAGCTTCGCCAACTCCACAGCTGACATTGTGAGATTGTCGAAGATAGCCTGCTTTGTACAATCCAAGAGAGCACTCTGCGGATCTCTGGGATGCAACACTTGCTTGGCCTGCGCAAAAAACTCCTGGGGAGACCACTGAACTCCATACTTGTACATCTGACGGAGCCTTTTGATGGGCGCAGGCTGAGCGCCGTCATCATCACAGGGCCAGCCTGGCTGCCCATCCCCATCAGAATCACAAGGCCACTCTGGCTGTGTCTCCCGCGCATGTGGAGTGGCCAGCAACCTGTGACCTGGTTGAGTGACTTCGGTTGGCACATGGAGAAAATCCTTGAACTCCGGCACCAATGGCCTGGACTTGACGGTTTGCCTCCCCTGCAAATGCTTATCGCGCTGAGCAGAAGACACATGTGAGTCCAAGACATATCCATCCGCATGAGCCGCCGCTTGCAAACAATGCGCCATGCGGGCGCGTAGCAGGGGAGGGTATTCTGCTTCGCGCGCAGCGGCGAAAGGTAGACCACAGCCTGGCTGAGCTACGGTCCACGGCAGATGATCGTGCCTGTTGTCACAGTCAACTGCAAGCGAACTGAACAGACCAGGACTACTGAGTAGGCGAGTCCGCTGATTTCGCCTGGAACCATGCATGCATGCGCTGAAAGCCACTTGCTCCAAACTGGCATACCACCTTCGAAAATCAGCGTCGTGATGCGATCGCACAAGCTCGGCCAAAATGGCCCACAGCCAGCTCCTGGCTGGATTCTGAATTGCAATTTTGATGCCCATCTGAAAAGCCAGAAAAAGAATTTCTACGGAGAATCTGTACAAGTTGTTTGCTGTCTCGACCTTGGCCAGGTCAGCCTCGGCCAAGTACTCGAATCCAAATAAATGGGACGCGTCCCTGAGGGGCAGGGGCGTTTTGCACTTGGATTGCAGTTCCTTAGGAAGAGCTTTCTCTCTGGCCCTGCTGCACGTCGAACTCGGTAATCTCATGTGAATACAAAAAGGGCGCAAATCAGCCACCATGGTTTTCATAAGCAGCTGATAGTGTGAAAGGGCTAGGTCCATGACTACGACAGAGACCTTGGCACGATGCCTGTTGTGTGCGTGATCCACTGCAATAACGCGAAAGCCGCAACGGCGTGCTGCGTGCGAAAGCCCAGCTGATCCTGCACACAAATCTAAAAACCATGCATTGCCTCCTGGTTGGCGGGAGTTGCAGAGTCAGATTCCATGAAGGCATTCGGAGGCAGGCACGGGCTTGTGGCACCCGGCCTTCCAGCAAACGTGGAACCCGTGCATGCATCTTTTGCCGTAGGCTATCTTGGCCTTGCAAACTCCGACATTGAACTTCATACAAATTGGCTTCTTGTTGCCATCCCCGAATTTAATCACACAACCTTCGGGCACTTGGATTTTGCCTTGGTAAGATGCCGCATCCTTGCCACCGCTCCATTTGCCCTTGTCCTTGACCCTTCTGAAAGCCTTTGCCTCTGGTCGCCTCGGAGACATCAGCAGGGCCATAATAAGGGTGCGACCTGGATGAACTTGCAGCTTGAGCAAGGGGCAATGGCATGATGCGGAACTGGACCTCGGGGTAAATGACAGAAGGGAGAGCTGGGAACAAATGTGTTGGTCCCGCCCGCCCACCACTTGAGACAGGCGATGTCACCACATTCAACAATCATGGCAGAGACAAGCAAGCCGTGCAATAGTTGATGCAAAGACCAAGCTCAAACATGGTCAACTAACGTGCATTACGCTACGAACACTCCGCCATGCTTGCAAGACAGAGCTGTCACTTCGTGAAAGCTTTCTTCTTGGCTTCCCATTCAACCGCCCAAAAGGTGTACTGCTGAGATTCCTCGATTGGTCCGCTGAAGTCTCGGACTTTGTCGCGC